ATACAAGGTTGGTGTACACTACAGATTATGCATAATGCATATAAGCTTATTTAAGTTTTTGATATCCATAAAAATGACAAGTAAACACAAATCAGTTATTGCTCAGCTAACCCTTTGTACTGTCATGTTGGCCAAATGATTCTTTTATGCCTGTTTAATGAGCCTAAAATGAACAACAAAACAACTCTTGAGCATAAATCTTTAACACACAATTTGATTCAAGAAAATGAACTGTTACAAAGTATAATAAAAGAATTGCCACCAGCATACTGATTCCAGATATTTTGTGATCAAGCAAATACCCCATTTACAAATGGATTGGTTTTGATCTTCAAGATTCTGTCTCTATTCTTGCATTTTAAACATAAAGACTAGTAGTCTAAGGGGTTGTTAATTTACTTTATTGGTCTGGGCAGCTTATTCACTCAGCCATACAGCCGTGTCTTTTTATGGCTTAATGGCTATATGGAATAAGCCAGGATCCCTCACCTGGATACATTGACAACTTGGACAATAACATATAAGTGCATCAGTGGGTTCTACAGGGTTGTCAACTGATACATAACATCAGTTCATCGATATATGCATAAATAAAGAGGTGATCACCACATGCATCATACTTTTACATGTAAGGCTATCAAAATTAACCAAGTTCTTTACCAGACTTGCCTGTGATTGTTGCTGAAGAGTATAAGGGAAACAGGCTGATCGGGAGAGAGAAAGAATAGTTGTCGCAGTATGTATACACAGGTTGCAATGCTGAGAAAGAGTTGAATATAAACATCAGAGGTTCAGTATATGTGCTGCATTATGTTCAAATGCATTTATTCTAAAGAGTATAACATTGAAAAAGATTACTGATTGCACATAGTTCAGTCCCATATGAAAACAGATTAGATACCATTCTTTTTCTAAGGCTTGTTTTATAACTTTTAGTTATTGTATAACTTGTATTTATGGCATGAAGAAAGAGTTGCTTACTTAAATATCAGAAAATCATTAAATACCAATCGCGAAAAGCAATAATGACCTCCAACTGGTCATTATTAGGAGGTTGTGCAAAAACATGAAAGCAAATCAATTGTTGATCCAAGAAGTGTGCAAATGAATGGCAATGCGGGAGTGTATGAAACTCAGATATATGCAATCGTGGATCAATCGATAAATAGTTGTGACATTAGTCTAAAGTCAACATGAAGTCTTTGAGGTGGAAATTCCCCTTCCTTCTTTATCTACAGTTGTCAATACACAAAGTTCTTTCATTTACATGAAAAAGAACTTTGCATCATGATGATGCAAGTTAATCATAATTCACAGGAAGCAAATTTAGTTAGAGCGTCTGAACTATAACAGAAGACATTAACCCCCTAGTTGTTCTAGCTTCTTCATAACATAAAAGGTTGATCTTTTAGATTTTGTTATGGTTGGCTCTATCTTTGCATAAAGTCATAATAACATTAGTATGAAGCATCACATAGGCCTACAGTCAAAAATAAGAACCATTTTACCACACCTTCATATCCAACTTTGTTACCATTGCCCATATAAAACCTCCAGAGAATGTCATTTAGAGAAAGTAATTAGTATGGAGTAAGCTAGGCTAGAAGAAATAAACATGTTGTGGGCCATATTTACTTGATGCGAGGCACAATGGAGGCGAGACCACAAAATGGAGACTGGAGAAAGGAAGCAAATTATATACACTACTGGAAGTTAACTAACGGACAAACCGGAAATAACTTTTACATGATTACGTCCTACACTCATGGGATTAACGAGAAGATGGTGACTTAGTTTGGATAAATACTTACCTCCCAGAACACACAATAAGAGGTATCCACAAGAAAGCACTCATCCAACTTGATTCCTTATATGCTATCCAGACCTGAAAAAGCAACAGTGGATTCCTTATTATTATGAAGAGAGGAGGAAAAAGATGCATTTCATTTAAAGATGCAAACTGCAACATGTTGTATGTGAATGTATAATTTTCGATCTAGGTTGAGATCCATCATAGCCCTAAAATCAGAGTAGCAAAACATGAATTATGTCAGGTCAATTGCATGATAAAAAGTGAATGTTGTTATCTGAACTAAACTCTATATTGGAAGATCTTAGAGTATAACTCAACCAGTTTCATATTCAATTGTGACCATCTGATGAAGAAAAGGATAAGACCAAGATGCATAATCATCTTGATCATTAGCATACTGTTTGGGGCTTTCAATGTGATAAAATTAAGGTGTCATATGATATATGCCCTGAATAATGTACATATGGTGGGTTTGTGGGCCAATAAACAGGCATAAGGAAATAAACAACCCTACTTAACGCTCATATAACGAAGACACTAATATTATTAACAGTACATCCAGCTTAAGAGTCTATGCCAAAATGCAACAATCAATCTATGAAAAATATGCTCATAAGTGAAAAAACCAAAAAGAAACTAATGAAAGAATTAGCTTATTGACTATATTATAACAAGGCAAAAGTTATCTTATGGCGGAAAAATTGATCAACTCAATATCATGAATGGAGACATACCGCTAAAGCCACAACGTTGATATAGAAGTCAATTAATGTTGCTATCATCCACCTGCGAGCAATTATTAGTATCAATTTTACATTTCATATGAAAGAGAACTATACGTAAAGATTGAAAAGACAGATGAACGCGTGGACTCTTGTCAATCAACCATATAGCCAAACATTATTTAACCGAACTTGCTTCTCAAGTGGGGATCTCTTAGGAAAAGGGAATAACAAATTTGGTGAGAGAGAACGGTGCTCCCAGTTCTATATCAAGAGTGGCTTAATAAGTCCAGTAATTACAGAGATCCACATGACCGACCTTTGGTTTTTCAGTTCCCACTGAGAGCACAGGGTGAGAGACCAACAAAAAAACCCAAGTTGTAGATTTATTTTTGGTTCCTAACACATCAAGATTTATAGATGATAGAATGTAGGAGAAACTAATTTCACATTGATATTGCTTGTTCATGTTCTGAATCGTACTTCTCCATGAAGGATCCCTAACTTCACATACATTACAGTTGAGGAATGTCCTTCTACTTTACTTTTTCAAAAGATAAAACAGAATGAAAACTTACGGTGTGTATAATTCAGCACGGAATGGAGATCCATCAACAATAAGCGTGTAAAGCAAAGCTCCCAGCATCAAGCAGCCTAGTACAGCAAAGATTACTCTTGCAGTTACAACAGAAGGTCCCTTCCTGTGCTCCGTGGCATCTCTAAGCCAAATGTATAAAAAAAATTAAGTGATAAATAACTCAACATAATGTTTTACATGATACATGCAATGAATGATTAAAAAAAAACAAAGAGAAAAGATTAGTCATACATATTTATCTTTTGCCATGTCCTCTCTCACAAAAATGATACTTTTTGAGGATCGGATATCATAGAAGGTAATACCAAAAAGAAAGTAAAGGATGATTATCTTATTAATTGAGAATGAAGGCATGGAGAAAGAACATAACTATATGTTCTTGGAAACATCAATGCAAAGTCTTCGAGAAGAACCATGCATACACTTCTAAAATCAAAATGGACAACAGAGCAAGTACTCGCTAGATTGCTACATATATATTTGGAGGGGAAGTCCAACATCCTCTCTTCTTACCTTTTCTGGTGTCTAGCCAACACGAAGTACAAAGGATCTTTTGAAGATTCTTCAGGTGTCAACTTGTAGAACTGCATAACGATGTATCCGCAGGTAGTGACACTGTAGCAAAGTAAAAAAGGAAAAAAATGTAACTTTAGTGATACAATATAATATGGCGACTAAATTTCATATCGAATTATTGGAAAGTAGTCTTAAAATAAGTAACAAATCCATGCTGGCCTATATATATCATTGTTCACAAACCAATTACTGACGTACCACCACGAGTGAATCACTAAACTGTTAAGCTGGAGAAAGAGGTTCGATATTTTTCAGGTTTATTGCCTCCAAAATCATATTTAAACCCATGAGATGCTATTTGCAGTGAATGTAATAAGTTGAGAACCATCTATCAAGACAAGCTTTCATTGAGAAAGTTGGAGAGAGAAAATACTAAAAAGAAACCAGTAGATGATTATAGTAAAGGGAAGCCAAATTTGATTTTTCCGCATATAGTTCAAATTGGTATAGCAGTTGGGTTGTTGTGAAATGCTAGAAATCTTACTATTACCAGAAGTTTATGTATTTCAAACCATGAAAATTACCAGTCTACTTGCCAAGAGGTAAAGCTATGTATGTGAGATAGAAGTGGGAAATGGCCTAATAGATAGTCTTATAAGAAACTTAACTTTCATATAAAATAGAACTTAAAGCATGAGATCTCTATTTGGTTCACATTAATTCTACATGTAATTAAGAGTTCTTACAAAACTTGAAGATCATATGTGCTGAAACAAGCCCTCTCAAGTTAATTGTAAAAAGAACCAACCATTTTGAGATCTAGTGTTCTAAACAAGAAATCATATGCACATTTAGAATTCCAGAACAAATTCTAATACAATAATATGTCCTTGAGTTTCTACAGGTTTAAATAATTCATCATAAAAGTGGATGTTACAAGCATAATCACAGTAATCTATTACGAGAATAGAACCCTTTAAATCATGGATTAACCCAAGAAAACCCCATTGTCCTGGGGTGAATAAAACAATCATTGTAAACATGTCATACTGCTAATAAACAAGAAGATTACCTTCCTAAGCAAATTAACAAAATGACCCAAACAGTTGCCATGATCCAACTTGATTCCTTGTAGACAACCCAAGCCTAAAGATTACCAACATACAAACACATATGAGTCCAGTTGATCATTCAAAAATTAAAAAGGGAACGCATACATTCTAACAAACAGTAGTCTGCTCTATCCTCCTGAATGCACTTGAATATTAGTAATGCACTTGAATTTTAGTAGATAGAATATGCACTACGAGAAGTATTAAAGGTCAGGTCAACTGTGGCTCAAAAGTGAAAAGGTAACAGTAACGAGTTAGTGAGAGACATATAAAATAGGAATATGACTTGCTTAACTACGTGCATCTTTTAGTCAAGGTAGTTACGTGCCAAAGTCAAAATGGCAAACAAACAACAATGTACCCTTTTAACTGAAATAAACATTCATACCCCTATAATAGCAATATGTATGTAGAAATCAATCAGTAATGCAACCATCCACCTGCAACAAATTTAACATCAAAATCATCAAAAAGGAAAACGTTTCTTTCGCATTAAGAGGAGCCATTAATAAATAACTTAAATCCTGAAACAAAATAAAAGTAAACCCAAAAAAATACCATTATGATTCTTTTCTTTCTTACTTATACATGCGGAAAAGTCTAGCTTTGTCGTTCTTGTTCAGATTATCAACAACAGCACTAAAAAGTAAAAGCTAGAAAGCAACATAATTCTTGAAGGTCATTAACAAGGGAGCCTAGGACTGAAACTTCTATCACTAATCGATATCTATAATGTACCAATCAAGCTCTTATTAAATGTGCATATCCACTGAAAGATGAAAAAACGAAATAGAGAAAATAAATTAAATTTGCATTATCATATGTCATGTAACTAGATGAACACTCCCCCTCACCACCATCACAACACAAACAGAACACAAATTATATGCCTCATACCACCCAATTTTCTAAGAGGAAGTTGGCTGAACATCCACACTAATGCAGGTGAAGTTCACACTCCATTCGGGTATATGAATGACAAATCATCCCACACCAAGTCCTAGAATCCAACATACTCCCTTCATTATATACCTAGAGAAATAAATTACATCTCCATAATTCGCAAAGCTGAGGAATATATGTAACTTTGAGGACATCACAAGTGAGTTATGGTTGATGAAACTCATTTAAACTCTCTGTTAAAGTGGATTCTAGTGGGCCTGAGCCACTACGTGAAGCCATACGAGTCACATAAGCTGATACAGAAAAAATAAGTAGGAAAGTGCTAAAAAAGAGAAAGAGCATGGATGCTCTCATCTAGGGTCATGTGGCTCAATTCAAGATTCTTTCAATTAATAGCTGCAACAACCTTGGGTGCTGGCAATGCTTGCTTGAATCCTACTAGACTTCTGTTTGATTTTAGTGCAGTCTGTACAATTGTTCTGGTTTGGAATCAGATTTTCCCAGTCAATTGATGCACAACTGGCATGATCTTCATTTCTTAATTCAAGTTTCCTGTTATTTCATCCTCAATCATTTTGAAGATTTTGGATTAATAAAATCATCTTTCTTTTAGCCAAAAAATCTGTAACCTAAAACCAAGGAGATTTACAAGTCTACCTCTTTTGACACATGATGCAAAATTCTACAAAGATCCAAACAACTCATATATTCAGAAATCAACAGAGGAATAAAGAACAACTCATTCCCGCTGTTGACTAGTCTTTATATGTTAAACTAACATGACCTTGAAAACTTTCGAGAAAATTCGCCGGACTACATTCAGCCCTGAAACTACAAATAAAAAGTAACTACTGTGGTAAAATCATAACAGAATCCCAACCAGTTTTTCATATCAAATCACTACGTTTGCCGTGATCGCAGCATCATTTAATAAACTAATGTTACAAAAGTGTGTCCATTACCACCACAAGCTAAAAGAAAAACAAACAAACAATATCTACCATCAATTTCGACACACATTTCTGTAATTTAAGCATCTAATTTACCTGGTGAGTAGCTCAATACGAAAAGGGCGGCCGTCAGTGGCGATTGTGTAAACAAGAACCGCCACCATGAGACATCCAAGTACGCTTAACAACGTCCTCACTGCTACTCCCACCTCCGCCCCCATTATTGCTCCGATATCTCTGTGTTTCGTGAGCGAGAAGGAGTAGGAGAGAAATTGGATTCTTTTTTGTTCTTTTTGTGAGGAAGCCGAGCGTCCACGTTTGTAGTACCTGATACGGCGCCAAATGGGAGACTTTCAACTGATATAATTACAAAAACAGCCCCTCTACTAAGTAATAACATACAAATTTAGTCCATTAGTATTTTAACTTTGCTATTTTTAACCAAAAGTTTAGCAAATGGTCTCTCATCTGAGTCATCTCGTTAATGTTAAAGGACTTTAAAAACAACATATGATAAAGAGTCATCAAGAGATAGGGGGATGGAGAGATTTGATGAAGGTCGGTTTTCATGTTCGTTTTTGGTTTTTATTGTTTCATTATGACAAAAATTCTTAAAAACCATTTTTTATGCATAAAGTACTGTTTATTAATGCATATTATTTAAATCTCAAAATTACAAGTATATTGTGCATAGTACAACTTATTAAAGCTCCATATCTGAATTCGTATAACCAACTGCAGATAAACATAATCAAATACATGATAAACATTTCATTTTAAATATAAAAAATCTAAAATATAATTAATACAATCATTGAGTTTTAACAGAATACTTAATTATTATATTTATAAAATGTTATATTATTAAACCAAAAATAAAGTATTTCATTATTAAACTTAAATTAAATTATAATAAAAAAATTAAGGAAATTACATAAAAAATTTAACTTTAAATAGTTGATTTGATATTAACATTGATATTTTTTTTTCAAATTCTTATGATATATTCAGATTTATATTTTATTCAAAAATAAAATCATTATTGCTTTCTTAACAACATATAAAATCGTATTATAACATCGACAGAGACAAAAAATAAAATAGAACATTAAAATCGAGATGTATCTAAATGTATTGCGCACGTACCTTTCTAGTATCCTTAAAAAATAATAAATATTAAAGACAACGATTAAATAACTCGATTTTTATTGATAATTATATTATCATAAAAACCTAATATAACGTGATCCATATGAAATGCATTTTTTCTGATATATTTTTTCTGTAATTCAATTTGCATTTAAACATGAATAAATGTTTCGTGAAGTTCTTCTCATATCCATAAATGTTTCATTCTCTTTTCTAGAGTAAATTTTAGACACTATAACAAAATCGGGTTTATATGACACTCTCAATTTCTAATTGTCCTAATAGACTTCTTTATAAGACTTAGTTTATAGGACCAAAAAAACAAAGTGTCTTATCTAAAGGCGTTGTAATAAGTTTATATGACGTTTTTTGATGTCGTAATAGATTTTTTAGAACATGTTTAATATAAAGCGTCCCGTTAGCAACTTTATAGGACACTATTTGAAAAACTGTCATATAAAAACAAATGTCATATAAAAAATAGAGTTTATAGGACACTTTCTCAAAAGTGTTCTATAAAGTTGTTAATGCGACACTTTATATTAGAAATGTCCTAAAAAATTTGTTAAGACGCCAAAAAACGTCATATAAACTTATTACAACACCTTTAGATATGACACTTTATACTTTGGTCCTATAAATTAAGTTCTATAAAACGGTCTATTGAGACACTTAGAGATTGAGGGGGTCCTATAAACCCAATTTTGTTGTAGTGAGATTTGCTCCCTCACTTTTGTCACTTGAAATAAAAATTGTCTCTAACATTTATTTATTCTGTATTTGTCTCTCACGTTTCCAAAATATCTTGGTTTTAGTTCCTCCAATTATTAACAGTTAATTTTTTAGTTAGTTTCAATTAAACGAAGGACAATGTGGTCATTTTTTATTTAAAATCATCTTTCACGAGGTACGTCATCACTTTATGTGGTGCACGGGTGTCTTGGAGAACAAATAAACGATATGTTGTCTCACGCTCATTCGCTGAAGCTGAGTATCGCACCATGGCAATGCCTGTTAGTAAGGTTCTATGGCTTTGATGCTGACTCAAAGATATCGAAGCCACACAACTTGGTCCTAATCCATTGTTTTGTGACAACCAAACGGTCTAACACATAGCAAATAATACCGTATTCCATTAGCGCACAACGCATGTCGAAATAAATCATTCTCCGTCCAATTTCATCGGAGCAGCAGGTCGCAAACTTGTTTACCAAAGCCTTAGGAGCTGCTCTTTTTCGGTTCCTTGTTGGCAAGCTTGACATTCGATATCTCCATGCTCCAACTTGAGGAAGAATGTTGAGATTTGGCTTAAATTAATTATTTTGTTTCCTTTTTTTCTTGGTGTAATTTGCATATATATTTTTGTCATAGCTTTGTATAGGGTTATTATTAGAGGTAATTATGTCATCTGTAAAACATATATTTTGTACTCCCCTTTTGTATTATGATCAAGAAAGGAATAGAGAAAGTTTATTTTGCAAATCACGTTATTTGTATAAATCGTACAAATCTCATTCAACCAATCATAATTTTCCATTATGTTCATTTTTTTGTAATTATGAGAGATTGATTAATCATTTTTATTGTGAATGATGTTAATCATGGATATTATCATCTTCATTATATTAATTTTAGAGATATACATGAAACAATTTCATTAAAATTTCATAAGTATTATATGAAACAATTTCATAAGTATTATATGAAACAATTTCATAAGTATTATATGAAATACTTTCATAACCATATATGAAACAACTTCATAAAAAAAGTATTATATGAAATAATTTCATAAGATTAAACAATTTCATGATTTTTTTTATAAGATTAAATAATGAAATTGACGGATAAGGGTAGTTTGCACGATCTGTACAAATATGGGTGATTTGCATTTGATTGCTTCTCTCTCTCTCTCTCTCTCTCTATATATATATATATATATATATATATACACACACACACAGACATACATACTATATTATAAAGCATTTGACAAAAAATCATTAAAAACCATTTTTTATGCACGAAGTAATGTTTATTAATGCATATTACTTAAAATTCAAGATTACAAGTAAATTGTGCGTAAGTACAACTTATTAAGGCTTTATCTTCGAATTTGTGTAACTAACTGCAGATAAACATAATCAAATACAAGATAAACATCTCATTTTAAATATAATTAGGTTAATAGTTGAAATCTAACAGAATACTTAATGATTATCTTTATTAAAAATTATATTATTAAACCTAAATTAAATTACTTCGTTACGTTAAATTAAGTTATAATAAAAATTTTGAATTAAAAAAATATAAATAATTAAAACTTTTAAATAGTTAATTTGATATTAATATTGATAATATTTTTTAAAAAATTTATTGATATTTTCAAATTTATATCTTATTCAAAAATAAAAGAATTATCGCTTTCTCAAAACTATATAAAATTGTATTATATCGACATATATAAAGAATAAAATGAAACATTGAAATCGAGATGTGTCTCAAGGTATTGCACGAGTACCCTTCCAGTGTATATATATAGGGGTCTAATCAAATGAGAACTGATTAGGTTGTGGTAACTGTGAGGTCCAATCTCAACTACAAATCAACGGATAAATTAGGAAATTAATAATTATGGTAGTTTAAGTTAAAATTATAATTAGAGGATATATTAGGTATTTTTTTTGAAAACTCCTCTTTCCTCTCTCCTTTCTCCTCTCTCATCTCTTCGACCTCCAATCTCCGGCCTCTGATGAAATCGGTATCACAGTATATCACAATAGGTATCACATTGTGTATATTTGTTTTTAAGGTTTGAGTTGGTATCATAGTTGGTATCACTGTATATCACAATGGGTATCACATTGTGATATCTTTGTGATTACTTGGTACCTGCCTGATTAATGTTCACTGGAGGCCGGAGATTGGAGGTCGGAGAGATGAAAGAGGAGAGAAGAGTTTTTTTTTTAAATACCTAAAATGCCCTCTAATTATAATTTCAACTCAAACTACCATAATTATTAATTTCTTAATTTATCCGTTGATTTGTGCTTGAGATTGGATCTCACAGTTACCACAAACTAATCAGTTCTCCCTTGAATGAGCCCATATATATATATATATATATATATATAATACATACATACAGATACACGAAATAAGTGTCTTATTTCGTGTATATAATTTATAGACTATCCTAGTACTTATTTTGTGAAAACCCAAGGCAGTAAAAGGGCAAAATCTAGTATTTGTGAAATTTCTTTCCAATACACGATCTAGAACTTATCCAAGTGTAGCACAATCACAACCACAACCACAACCCAGTTTCTAACAACTACGAATAAAAAGTAACCAATAGTAAAATGGTAACAGAATCCTAATCAGTTTTGGATTTCAAAGCACTACATTCGACATTCAAAATCAAATTGTCTCTCTTTTTCCCATGATCGTAGCATCATTAAGAAGTAACGTTATAAAAGTGTGTCAATTGCCACAATAAGTTAAATGCGAAACAAAACAACCAATATCTACCATCAATTTCGAGACACATTTATGTAATTTAGTCTTCTAATTCACCTAGTGAGTAGCTCAATACGAAAAGGGAGGCCATATGTGGCGATTGCGTGAATAAGCACCGCCACTATCAGACACAACATCCTCACTGCTATTCCCACCGTCGCCGCCATTATTGCTTATTAACGTTAAATGACTTTAAAAACGACATACACAATGGTGGATCTAGAAATTTACTGAGGATCCTAAGGGTATGAAAAAATTTGAAACTGAATAACTCAACCAAAACAATACGGTTTCGATAATTCAGTTTGTGGGTTAAACGTTTCATTAAACGAATACAATAAGTTTCAGTTTCGATTTTTACCGGTTAACCAAATAGCAAATATTATACTACTATTTTGTATAGTTTTCTTCTATTTATTTTATATTTGATTTTTGTTTTCTTGTTTTTGCGTTGATTTTCGATGCTTTATTTCGTATTTTAAGTATGATACGTTTCATGAACAAGATGATAACGATCGTGAAAATGATAATTAACAACAATAACAATAAAATATTAAAGACAATGATCAAATATCTTGAGTGTAATTCATTGATTGATAATTAAGTTAAAGAAAGAAACATATCATAAAATCTATAAAAACGTAATCCATAAG